AGTGTGGTAAAATCGCATAACAGCAAAATCGCATAACAGCCGAGCATACACCCAGCAGCGCTGCTGATGCCTGAACTGTATGTGGAATGAAGTGGGTGGGCATCGGGAGGCCACTATGGCACGGGGCAAGCACTATGGGCAGTCTATCTGAAGTGTACCTGGCGTATAAGAAGACCCCCCACTTGGAGGCATATTTTTCAGGGCCAAAAAATCGTCTTATACGCCGGCAAATACGGTACTTCTTGCCTGGATTACAATGGCCTGCTAACAAGTAAGTGTCTCTGTGTCTGCCTTTGTCCCCAAATCCTGTTCTCACCACAGCAACTAGACTGATCCTGTTATCAGATTGTAACACTCCTCTATGCAAAATACCCCCACATATTTCCCACCTCACTCAGAGTAAAATCAGCATCCTAACTCTGACTTGCAAGGTAATATGGGCTATCCTACCAAACTCTCTGGCTTTGTTTCCTACTACTTTCCCCCTATTAATACTTTCCCCCTACTTCTCTCCACTCACTCCCCACAGGCCTTCCCTCTGTTTTTAACAACACCAGGCATGCAAATCTCAGTGCTTCTGCACTTGTTAACCTCTGCCTGAAGTTCAATTCCTCCCTTTATGCATAGCTAGCTCCCTCACTTCTTTCAAGTCTTTATTCAAAAGTCACTCTCCTACCCACCTTCTCTTAAACTTCAAACCATCCTCCTACCACGTCATTTTATATCTCTCTTCCTGGTACTTATTACTATCTGATACACTACATAGTTTACTTATGTATTTATCTTGTTGGTTGTCCTTTTACCCAGATAGACCATAAGCTCAACAAGGGCAGGGATTTTTATCTTTGTTCACTGTTATATCCCCATTTCCTAGAAAAGTACCCAGCACACAGTAGACAGTATTTTTTGAAGAAATGGATTACTGAATAAATGAAGACAGAGGGGGGAAAAAAGTCTATTTTTTTCACCACCCTAACAATATCATTAGCATTTTAGTTGTATTTTTTATATATTACTACACTAAGTTCCTTTTCTGGGCTATATAGACAATCAGATGATTTGTCTATCATGTGCAGTTACCAAAATGTTTTAAGTTTTGAGTGGATAGTGTGGTTTAATATTTGGTAGTACTAGTGGCCCCTTACTGCTTTTTAACAGTATTTTCTTTGGTCTCTTGCCTGTTTACTCTCACAGATGAACTTTAGAATCATTGTCCAATTTCCAGGATTTGATCTGTTCAAAATGTGGTCTACCTATGAACAAATGTACTATATCTTCAAACAAGTCACAAATAACTTCACAGAATTATTCCTACATAATATATATTTGTTGTGAATCCTATTCTGCACTGTTTTACAAGAGAAACACAGGTGAATGGCATTTTATGCATTTCGACTCCTTTACCAAGATAACCGAACATATCTTTTTTATGTCCATCCTACCCACCAGAAAACTGCTGCATGAAATTTTTTATCACTTTATAACCAAAGTTCCTGGCTTCCAGTATTTGCCAAGCATTTGATTCAGCAATCTGGTTTCAAACTGCAGAGGAGGAGCTTGGGAAATCTTTCATTTACATTGTTTTTTACCTTGTGAAAATGAAGTTAGTGATGTAACCTACAGGCCTAGCAGACTGTCCTCTGCACTACACTGTGTGCCTTAATTCTGGGAAGGTATCAGGGTGGCAGGCCAAGCTCCTTCATATACGACCTTGTTAAAGCTTTATATACATACAGGTCCTTGCCCTGCAGAGAAATAAGCATATTCTGGCACATGTATGCACACAGTAATTCTCGAAACACGACTGAATGGCATTCGACGCAATGCGCTTGCTTTCTGTTCCTCTGTCTATTCTATCCATCTCCTTTTTCCTCTGTGCCCACATCTCCAAGAGCCAACCATCCCCACTGCTGCTAGCCTTAGGCGCTCCAGGAGCATGAACACAGCAGTGGCAGGTCGGTCCTCTGCTGCCCCCTGCAGCTGAAAGCCCAAGAAGAACAGCGCCCCTCTCTCCGGACCCGCTTACATGAATCAAAGTTACCAAATAATTAAGATGACTAGAGGGCCGGCCGAGTGGCATGTTGGTTAAGAGTTGGCTTGGGACGCCAGCTCTGAGNCGCCCCGCCCCACCCCACCCTGCCGTTCCCAGCGCTACCCTTCCCGACGCCCAAGTTTCCAGGCGAGCTCTGCCTGCCTGAGCCAGCGCGCTCGCAGGTCGCCCCTGCCTCAACCCGTCTGCTACCCGCCTTTGCTGGAAAATGGGCCGCAGAATATAGGTGTTGTCGGTCTCCTTCGAGGTCTTTTCAGTCTCAGGCACCCCGTCGGCCATGGGGAAGGACGCGCCTGTGGAAAAGGACGGACGGGTAGACGAGGCCATGACCGGGACTTCTTGGCCTGGTGTATCTTGTGATGAAGGCCTGGCGGATTGCTGCAAGGAGCTGGGAAACCGTCGTCAGGGCAACAGGGCCGCCCTTGGCCCTGACGTGACGCGGCCGCGCGCTCTCCGCTGAGCGGCCCGCCTCCCTCCCCCGCGCGTGCGCACCGCTGCTGAGCGGAAACTGGCCGAGCGAGAGCGACGGAAGCTTCGGCCAATACCGATGTATTTCTGTCCGCTTTACAAAACACCTTAATACGTTAGCTCTTAGCAACCGCGCCACAATCTTAATAAATTCACGCGGAACCTGAGGCCCACTGAGGTCCAAGGATGCACAGTTAGTGAGCGGCAGACCCCTAAGTCTAAAGGGTCTTCAAACTGAACTGCGGGCCAAGTCCAGCCTTCATCCTGTTTTGTACGATTTGTGAACGGGTTTTACATTTTTAAATGATTGAAGAATATCAAAAGAATATTTCACGACAGATGGAAATTAAAACTTCAGTATCCAGAGATCAAATTTTATTGTAACATAGCCATGCTCACTTCTGTGTTGTCTATGGCTGCTTTTTGTGCTGTTGGCAGAATTGAGCAGTTGCAACAGAGGACTTATGACCCTCAAAGTCTAAAATATCTGCCCCTTTACAGAAAAGATTTGCAGTGCCCTGCTCTAATCCATAACTGCCAACTTGCATTTCCCTCAGCCTCATCCACATCCCTGCTCCTGTGCAAAAGTCAGAAGAAGCAGATTTAGGGTGCATTCCCTGCTGATGAGCACCAGTCTCTGTTCCTGTTTACAAAGCTGTAGTATCCTGGCCTCTGCCTGCTTCAAAAACTAAGAAAAGAAATTCCCTCAATATCCATCCAGGCTTCCTTTGGTAAGCCTTTAACCTATTGTTTGGATCAACAAATTCCAAAACTTGCTACAAAGGAGGTGGTTTCTATAAAAGTATACCTTTGCAAGTTCCACTAGAAACCAATTAATTTTACTATTCCAGGTTTTGTTTTACAAAGTGTCTTCTTGATAGTATTGCCTACATTGGTCTCCCGGACTCCAATAAACTCATCTCACTTTCACTTTTCCAGCCTCCCTTCACACTGCCCTCAGAAGGACTTTCCTTTGTCACGGCTCTGCTTGAAATCTTTCAGTTGGCTCCTTATGGCTGTCTTGCCAGAATTCACACTTCCTTTTCTTGCAGATAAGACCTTTCATGACCTAAAGTGGGAGAGCGGGAGGTCCTCTGCTTTCCACGTTCCACGTTAAAAGCAGCTGTGGCATCCCAGTTTTGCACATACCCCATTCCATGTCTCCCCTCCATGCCTTAGAGTGTGCTGTTTCCTCTGCCGGGGAATCCCTCCCCTCTTTGCTGGGCTATTTCAAGAATCATCTAAGACACAACTGAAGCCTTCCTTGATCTCTTACATATCCTCTCCCTGGAGGTTCATTGTTCCTCTGAGCTCTCAATGCACCCTGTGTTGACCTCTACCATGGCCCTTACTATATGACATTTAAATTATTAGTACATGTGTTTGTTTCCTTAACCTGACGATGAGCTCTGCAAGGACAGGGCAGAGTTCAAGGTCAAGGACCATGTCTCAGTCATCTTTAGATCCACAGCATGCACAGCAGTGAATGCCAGGCACACAGTGGATACTCAGTATATACCACTTGTTGAACTACACTGAACACTAATGAAATGAACACTAGTGGATTAAGCAGCTCAGATTGCCATAACAAAATACCACAGACTGGGTGGCTTAAACAACAGAAATTTATTTTCTGGAGGCTGGAAGTCCAAGATCAAGGTGCCAACAAGGCTGATTTCTCCTGAGGCCTTTCTCCTTTGCTTGCAGATGGCAACCTTCTAGCTATGTCCCCATGTGTCCTTTTCTTCTGTGCTCGTGTGGAGTGAGAGAGCTGGTATCTCATCTTCTTATAAGGATGCCAGTCCTACTGGATTAGGGTCCTTCCCTTATGACCTCATTTAACCTTAATTAGCTCTTTCAAGGTCCTATTTCCAAATAAAATCACAATTGGGATTAAGGCTTCAACCTGTGAATTTGGGGGCATACAGTTCAGTCCATAACAACTGGTGAACTTGAATTTAGAAGATAGGGGCTTAGGTACTGACTTTACCTGAACTTATTCAAGTGCTTTTGAGCAACAAGTCCATTATCCTCTAGGAGCCTTAACTTCTCTATCTATAACATGTGACAGATTTTATGGGGTTGTTGAGAGGCTGAAATGAGATTATAGCTGGAGGATATTTTATGGAGTATAAGTTCTTACACAATAATGATTTAATTATTCCTTGTACTAATATATCATCTTGCAGTTTACAATATGATTTTTAAAACATTATATCATTCAACATACATGCAAGGAATTATTATTTTTATTATTATTACAGGAATACCTAAAAGGGAAGTTTGTTTATAATTCATACCCATAAATCCTAGTTTTAGAGAGGATTCAAGGCAGCGTCTGATGAAAACTCCCGTCCATAGAAGGGCATTACCTATGATTTCTCACAGAGGCTGCAGAAAAAGCCCAGGAAGCTGTTGAAGAAATGAATGACTACCAGGAGAATCTGGAGGAGGCTGATGCACAGAAGGGTGGAGAAGAAGGACACATGCCAAACAACAGCTTTAGAAGGCTCCAGGCAGACAGAGTTCCAGAGTGAATGGTCATACAAATAATTCCTATCCCAAAAAATAAGGAGACCAGGAGTTGAGGAATCAGTAAGAAAAGGAAAATAGGCAACCTCAAAAGAAAATTGGGGACTCACCCAGCTCAGGTCTTAGGTCTAGACCAGGGGTCGGCAAATTTTTGAGACAGAAGGGCCAATCCTGTCCCTCACAACAATTTAAAAATTATTCAAAAGCCATAAAACAAATGAAATCACCATTATGTGAATAATATCCTTTAAAAATTTTATAAATAAAACTATGATAGTTTTATTTTCATTTTCAATTTCACTTCAGAGCCACATGTAAGTACCCAAAGAGCCGCATGTGGCTTGCGAGCATCGGTTTGCCGACCCCTGAGACTCTTCAGGGTGACTTTTGCTGCATTTGCAATTTTTGAGCTTCAGAGGAGTGAAATGCTACAATGCATCACCAAAAGGAGATTGTAGCCCATCTCTCTTTCTCTCTCTCTCTCTCTCTCTCTCTCTCTCCCTCCCTCTCTCCCTCCCTCCCTCTCTTTCTGAAAAGGCTGCAAATTCACCCAAGTCTTCAGCCATTTACCTGTTATGCATGTCTTTGAATGGGTAACCATATTTCCAAGCTTGCGTCTGATTGAAGGATGAGACATCAAACATACAAAAAGGACCATCTTTCAGGGCTACCCCAGAAGTGATAAAGCAAATCAAGGCCCCAAGCAAAGCCAGGCCACTTGACAGCAGAGCAGTAAGCATCTGCAGAGGGAGAAAAGAAACAGTAAGCCTGAGATGGCATCGTGACTAGGTGACTTGTGCAACCATCTGGACAAGTCTAGCTTCTCTGGTGCTCAGGCTTTCTCCCATCATATCCATGGGGCTACTCCTACCCACGGCAGCTCCTTTAAAGCTTAACCAAGGTAGGGTGACTGATGAGGGGTCAGTGGGTAGAGCTAGGAATGGGTGGGAGAAAAAGAACTGAGAAGGGGGAAACACTGGCACTTGAACCTGGACCTCCCTGACTCAGCAGGCTCTTCAGAGCTTCTCAGCAGGTTGACATCAGAAATGTTTAAGCTCAGATTGCAGTCATTCAGCCTCTGAGTTAAAGGGTCAGATTGGTTATCACATACCCACTTTTGACTCTTTTAAGGGAAAGCTGTATTTCCTAAAATATCCAAGCTCCTATCGCTGATTCCCATCTTTCTCCAATCAAGCTTGGAAGAAGGAAAGGTAAGAAAGGAAGGACGGAAACAGAGACAGAGAGGAAGAGAGATAGAGACAGACAGAGGGAAATTACAGTCAACTCTGAAATGACACCAATTCTGTCACTGTACTTCTCTAGTCTGTGCACCACCCTTCCCTCCCAAAAGATAACAATGGGTTTATTTTCTTGGCAGGATTCTAGCTTGCTTCCAAATTGGCTTCTTTCCCAGGATACTAGATATCTTTCTCCCTTCCAAAGAATACATAGCTTAAAATTTTAAATAAAACATATAAATAGTTTTTAATCAGAACTATAGAGTCATTGCCCCACTAATGTCAAGCTGGTTTCAAGCTTGGGAGGGCACAGAGAAAGGTGCATAGTAAGTTTTGACTCATAATTAAAAGACTCAAGATGAATTAGTCTGAAGTAAGCCTAGGACAGCGATTCTCAAAATGTGGTCCCAGTCCCAGCAGCATCACATCACCTGGAAACTTGTTAGCAATGCAGATTTTTCATTCTACCCCAGGCCTACTAAATCAGAAACTGGTGGTGGGGACCAGCAATCTGCGTTTTAACAAACCCTGCAGAGATTATGATACACACTCAAGTCTGAGAACCACTTGCTTAGGGGAAAAACAGACATGACTGAGAACAGATCATGAATGAAATGTGTAGGTGTTTATATTTAATTCTTTAAAATATCATTCTGAATCAGTAGGGTTTCCAATATACGGGCTGCAGAGTTACTGTAAGGAGGCCACAAATTCATGCTTCTGAGATTGAATAAGCAATATAGTGTGTAAGCAAACAGGGAGTTTTTGAATATGTATATAGATGCTGCTGTAATTAATAAAGTGCAAATTTATTCTGGGCTGCAGTTTCATTGTCTGTAAAATGGAAAGGTCAGACCAGAATCTAGTCATTAGAAGACCTTTGGAAAACCTTCCAGCTCTAAGAACAATTAAGCAAAATAGCCAGGGAATTTTCTATCAATAATACATGATTACAATGTACATAACTCATGTCCGTATTGTTCAATTGGCTAAAAAATAATAACAGTTGCTCACATTTATATCAGTATTTATAGTTCATTCTGACATTTATGGTTTATTATATAACAGGATCATTGACTTGATCCTGTTAACTCCCATTTACAGGTGGGGACCTGAGGCTCAGAAAGACTAAGCAACTTGCCCAAGAGCTTATAGAGATTAAAGGGCATGGTCAGAACCTTACTTCAAACCCCAAGACCAAAATTGCCTTTTTACCACTTAGCTCTAATGAAATAGGA